TGGTGACAAATTCTAGATTGGTGAGATTTAATTTAATGAAGTTCCATTGAAGTTAAGAGACTCAAGCAATGTGTAGTTAATGTTGGTTATCAGAAAAAATGTTTTTTAAATGACATCACTTTGTATAAAACTTTGCTATTTGTAAAAGCTTTAGGAAAAGTGAAATTGTTTCCTTTTCATATCCTGTGGTTTGAAAACTTATTTTGATCCTACCAAGTTAAATACTACTCAATAAGAGCATGACATTAAGCTGGTGTGCCTGCCATATCGCTCACTCAGTATGTGTTTTACTCGATGCCCTTTTTTCCCATTTTTGGATATTTTAACTTAAAAAAATAGCTAAGTCTGTTAAATTTGGCTGAAAGTTTGAATTTTAAAATTAATCAACTAATCCTGGCTGGTGTGGCTCAGTTGATTGAGTGTTACCCTGTGCACCAAAAGGTCATTGGTTCAATTCCTAATGAGGGCACATGCCCAGGGTGTTGTTTTGGTCCCTGGTCGAGGTGCATAACTGAGGCAACTGATTTCTCTCCCACATTGTTGTATCTCTCTCTCCCTCTCCCTTTCTCTCTCTCTTTAAAAAAATCAATGAAAACATATTTTAAAAATAAATAAATAAAAGCAATCAAACAACAACACAACAACAACAAAAAAACAGTAACTAGGTGGTTATTACACAATTTTCTTATTTTATTCCGGTTCAGTTTTTTACAATTGTTTCAAAGCTTCATCAATCACAGTTTTAGTAATCATTTATTTAGCCAACTGGCAGAGTCCAGAACAATTCATTTCAGTTTCTTTCCATTTGGAAAGTATATAAGTTCAGTGCACTTTTATTTCAAAGTCTGAGATACCAAACTTAAGAAGTAGATGACAATGACTTACTAGTAATATGATGTGGCAGGTACTTAAACTTCCTGAGCCTTAGGTTTATCATCCAATAAATGGGTATAATAATTATTACTGTGTATGCACATTGTGAATAACAAATACGAGAAGTTATTCCTAGGGCCTAAACTATTTCTAATACAACCAATGATATTGAATCTGTAAGTAGTAAAGTTCAACTCCACCTCCAAAAATAGCTAACTTATCTCAGCATAACTTAAAAATAACTAGGCCTTTATTTATTTTCAATAGCAACATAATAATTCTTCCTTAGTTTTCTCACTGGGTATTTTCAAGGGGGCAGTTGGGAAGGCAGAGAGGAAAAATATAGGGAGAGAGATAAAGAAATTTTTTAGGGCTCACTGCTAGTTGGAATTCACCTAACCTTGGCTTGTTTGGACAAGAGCAGGGAGCCATTCTTTCCACAGGGATCACAAATCCTTAAAAACAGAGAACTTTCACTGTGTCAGTGCAGTGACTTAGCTCAGAATAGAATCTCTTGTTTTTAATAAGACTTACTAGAGAATATCACTATTATCATCTTCATCACTCTTATTATTGATCATATCAGTAATAACTAACATTAATTGAAACCTCATCTAGAGAGTACTTAAAGTATTTCAGGTGCTGGCTAAACATTTTTTTCTGGCATTTTCTTATCGAATCCACTCAGCCCTTACTATTTAGTATTTATTTTCACCTTGTTGATGAGAACAGTAGAGGGGTTAAGTAATTTGCCCAGGGCCTCACAGTAAGTGACAGAACAGATCTGTCTGAATAAAGGTTCTGTGATCAAAGACTTGGTATTATAATAGTTCAGCAGCAAGTTCCTTCCATCCTTATACCATTTAAGGAATGATCAGGAGCCCTGGTTTGGTTAAGAGTTCAGATACTTTGATGTGCAGTTGGAGTAGGAAGCAGAGGGGGTAGTGGTACAGTACCCCAGACTAGACCAATGTTAGGATTAAAACCAACCAAGAAACAAAATACACTGGGGTAAGAGATTTTTTTTTTTAGACTTGCTGGTTCTGATTCATTGAGTAAACCAATGTTCCTAGGTTGTTAAAAATATTCTTGAAATAGGTTAATTAAAAGTAGTTGACACATAGCAGTATTTCAACATAGTTTTACAGAGCAAGTTGGATAAAGGTTTTCTCTCTTTGCTAAAAATGAGCATATGACAAATTGTTGTCTAGTTTGGATCACAGAGTTTCAAAATATGTAATATTCTGCACACATCCTATAGGAATAACTACATGTGTCACAAAAAAACAACCTTAAGGAGTGCTGCATTTGTGAAGAATGTTGTTTGACTTCTTTCTTCTTCTTTTTTTGAATCCTCACCCGAGAATATTTTTCTATTTATCTTCAGATAGAGTGGAAGGGAGGGGGAGAGAGAGAAAGAAAGAGAAGGAGAGAGAAAGAAACATTGATGTGAGAGAGACACATTGACTGGTTGCTTCCCGCACGACCCCAGCCAGGGCTGGGGACAAACTGCAACTGAGGTATGTGCCCTTGACTGGAATCAAACCCAGGACTCTGGTCCATGGGCTGACGCTCTAACCACTGAGCCAAATTGGCCAAGGCTGTTTGACTTCTTTCAAATAAATTGAAGAAGAACTAAGGAAAACTATTGAAGCATCTCTGTCATGCATTTTTATTTTTATTTTTTGTAACTTAAGCTTCAGTAAGTATAATAATGCATAAAGAAGAGTTTTTAAAAACACATTTGGTTAACATTTATTTATAATACAAGTACTGACTTTAATTGTAAATTACACATACCTACATAGCCACATTCTGAAATTTTCAATAGCAGAAACAGTCCTAACAATTTATCTCTTAACTATAATTTCTAAAGTTGTTTTTGAAGTTATATAGTTTATTTAGCTTCCTAATGTAGAATTTCAGACTGCTTCAAACACCAATGGCTGACAGGTCCTGGGGAAAAATGAGTTTACAGAAGTGCCAACTAGATATTCCTATAAGATACACATTCCCAGGAACAGTAACATTAACAAACAGGCAAGAATAGACCATTGCACATTATGTTCCAGCATCACCGCTCAGCTGCCAACGCTGATCACATGGAACGGGTTCCTTTGCAGAAAAGTGCTTTGAAGCATGAAGGATTCTTTGAAGAACAGATGCTGAAATGCAGCATCCATACTCCTCAACCAGAGCAAAAAGAATCCCCCAAAACAAAAAGTATAAATCAAGATTTTTACCCCAAAGAAGTAGAGTTAGACTTTTTTCTCTTAATCGTCATTATTAAAATATGTAAATTATTTGGGGTCAAGGACAATCTGCTGATCTGCCATATACTGAATTCTTTCGGGAGTGTCCATCTTTAGCTCCATTCTCCAAGACCGGGGTACAGGTTAAAAGTCTGATGACAAAGTCTGCTGGGTAACATGAGATAAGCCTTTTTAAAATTCCATTCTATGAAAGATTATATCCACTAGAATATGAGTACCAGGAGGTAAAGATTTTTTAAGCATTTTGTTCATTGATATAACCGTGGCACCAAAGGTAGTTGGCACTTAATAGGTACTAATGAAATATTTTTAAATAAATTCATAACAAAGTATAAACATAATATGCTGAAATAAAGGTCCCGTGAAGGCAGTAGCCTGGTCTGAAAGCGATGGACAAGAGAATATGTCCTGAACATCCTTCATGGAATTTTGCGCAAACTAGGGCCTTATCCAAGTAGCAAATGATCTGACCCAGAACATTTTACTCCACTTTCTATGTGGCTTCCTTGCATCATGAGCAATGATATGAAGTGGAAAATGTGAAAGGGCCAAATAATTTACTTCAGGAAAGAAATAAAAAGCTCTCCCCCATCTCAGCCCAACACGTATTAATGTACCGTCACTGGGCCCAGGAGCAGCTCACCGCCCAGCTCACCTTCCTGTGTTTCCTCCTGTCATGCCCGGGGTATTCTGGAACAAAGTATGAAACCTTGATTCTTTCTCTTGTTTTATTCCCTTGTAACAACATCTACTGGTCCCTCCACTGATAGGATTTAAGAGAAATTCTGTAGAATTTGACAGGAATCCAAGAAATGTCTGCCCTTACCCAGGATTTGAGGCAGAGAGCTTTATTTCCCACAGACAGTCCAGTTTAGATATAATTTCCTTCAGGAGCTTTCTCTGATTCCTTCCAAGCTGGTTTAATCATTCTCCTCTCTGATCCTATAATACCTTCAGCCCCCTTTAGAGCACCAAGTTGAACTGAGATGAAAAGTGAGTAGCTGTTTTTCCACTAAACTGTAAGGTTCCTAAGGGACCATGTCTTATTTCTCCTTAGCTTTGTCACCGTGGGAAGTATAGTGTGTCTAGAATTAGTAGGTGCCCATTCAATGCTTGCTGAGCTCCCTGCTCCCTCTCTATGTTCTGCAATCATCATCTTGAATGGCTGTTTATGAAAGTAGAATATTGTGGCTAGAAATGTTCCTCTAATACATTTGAAGGCACTATGTGAAAACCATAACTGGATATTCTGTTCAACAGAGGATATTATTTCTGCGTTAAGAAACTGTTTCCACAATCTCATGATATACTAGAATTTGGATCTTTGGTCCAGAAACCCAAATAGCAAGTCAAGTGGGGAATTTATTATAAAAATAAGATATCTCACAGAGACCACAGGCAGGAACAGAATGAGGCTAAACTTTGAGAACACAGGTACTAGGGACTCAGCCTGTTAGAAAACTTGAGTCTCATCTCTGTTCTTTCTGGCCAGCTTCCTTTGCTGCTCGGATCCACATGGGGAAAAACAGGACTGCCCATAGTAGGTGCTCACCTTCCACCGCCAATGGCAGCTGGAACTGGGGTAAAAAATATGGCCAGGGTGCTGAGCAGACAATGCCGTAGGTATGTCTACCACACTTTCAGACTTTTTAGCTTCAATGGAAAATATCTCATCAGAATGGACTACTTCAAAGTTATTAATGGTAGTTCCTATAAAATAGTTTTTCAAAGCACTAATATTCAATTTTATTTCTCTTAATAATACATGGTAGCAGAAAATCCCCAAGTATACATGTGTTTGCTTTGTTTTAAAAATAAATTTATTTTATTATTTGGTGATATTGACAGTTTATATATTCAAGTCATTTAATATATGCAAAACAATTATGAACACATTTTGAAAAGACATAAAAATCCTCAGAGTTCTTTCTTGACATCAGATCTACCAATTTTTGAAAGACACCATTAACATACTAGGATCCAAACAAAATTCCCCAGTCTGAATTGTCTTGAGAAAGCCCATTGGTCAAACAACATCAGGTCAGGAAAGAAGAAACATTTACACCTTGGTTTTGGTTTTTAAATGCTCAAACAAGTATTTGTTTCAAGTGTTCTTAGTGTCAAAGAAGACTGAGAAAGAGAAAGGGCATGCAATGCGTACAGAAGAAGACTTGAAAATGAAAAATGTACAACATGAACCACTTGTAAGAAGGTCTATTAAATCAAGAGAAGAAATAGATTCAGAAAGTTATCAGTTGTTTGACTTAGCTCTCATTGATGTTGGAGCTAGATCTGTGTTACATAGAAGCACAGCCTCAGTCTCTCATATCATGATGTGATAGAAGGTGATAAAACATTACCATTTGTCTGAATTCTCCACTTCACTTTGTGTATGGAGTCTACACTGTAAGGTAAAATTTACAAAGATTCTGGAAAAGAAGCTACTTGGCTGACAGGTACAGCAGCCAAAGTGCAGCAATTGGGGGACATCCTCCCTCTGTCTTTGGAAAAGATCTAGCCTGTCAATGTAGAAAGTTCCATATTTGATGGAATACTGGCTAAATGCAGATTTTGCTTTTTCTTATTAAATAGACCAGGGAGTTAAAGGAGCATTTGGGAAGATGGTCTCAAGTAATAGATGTATAGACATGTTTCATTGCAACAATGTTCACCTGAGAGCATTCACATGTACCACTTATTAGGACAAAAATGAGGATGTAGTCATAACCAGTCTCTGCTATGCTGTCACTGACCATTATCTTGGGGTCAACTGCATCTTCCAGTGCTACTGTTGATACTTTACTGAGCATAAACACTTACCTGGGGCTTAAAGACTGTCAGGCATCCCTTCCCATATCTATATTCATTGCCCTGTCTAGGGGGTAAATCTGTTTGCTTTACTAACGTAAGAATTTATTCATGTCTCTGAGCATTTATAAAGGAGCAAAGGAACATAATAAAAGTCAATGCCACAGTAAACATGGTGGGAACAGCAACATATAATCAGGAAAATGGCCCCAGTATCTCAGAGTCATAGCAAAACACAGTTCAGTAAGAAGTGTTGGCTTATCTTAGTGAGTTAGGTTGCACCAACTCTGATGAACAAAAATAATGGTTCAGAGCACATATGTTGAATTGGGTAAATCTTGGTTCCAGTTTCAGTGCTACCAATTCCGAACTCTGAAAATCTGGGTTAGATTTTTTAACTTCTTTAGGTCTGTTTCCATATATGGGAAATAAGGATCATGATAGATATCTCAGAGGTTCTTGCAAGGACTAAAGGACATAATATATTTCAAACTGTCAGCACATGGTAAGTGTTGGATAAATGGTAGATGTATTATTAATGCAATTTCTAAGATCTAAAGCCCTTCCTACTTTTCTGTTTTCTTTAACTAGTATTCTTGGTGACAAACTGAAGTGGAAGTTTATTAATATTTCCCTTCTCAACTGGGTGCTTTTCTCCCAATTACTAAACAATAATAAAATTTATTATTATTATAAAAACAATAGAAAACAACAAACTGTTACAAACAAAGGTAAATACATTATTAAGATTCTTTTTGTTAGCTGTTTTCCTGAGACACATTCTGTCCATTTTCAATTGAGCAAGGCGTTTTGCAACTTGCCTCCAGCCTGGAGGTACCTTCACAGACTGTAGGAAAAAGAAAAAAAAGAGCAAGCCATTTAAAAGAAATATATTATGTATTCTAAATATATACACACACACACACATATATATATATATATATATAGAGAGAGAGAGAGAGAACCAGTATTTTTGTTTTCAATTCACTAGTGTTATCCTGGCAATAAGTTAAGAAAGCATTATAACTTCTTGAGAAGCATTTAGTATACCCCATTACTTTTCTGGGAGTTTCTGGGAAAGGAGATTCTTTGTAGTGCTGGGAGAGCAATGGAAGTCGCCACCTCTTCTTTGCGGAAGGGGAATGTGGAAGCACGCTGCCCGCTTGCTACTGCCCTAAGGGGAACTAGCCAATAATGAAGCCGCTGCCTCTTCAGACAGTGAGCAGAAAGAGAGAATCATGTTTCCCTGCATGGGAGCCTCTGATTTAACCAAGTGTGCAGACACTTCCTTCTGGATTTCCTTCTGGATTTCCAGTTCATGTGTGCCAAACACTTCCTTTCAAACCAGGTTAGCTGTGCTTGACGTGGTTACTACCAAACTGAACCTGGCAGAGGTGAGGGCTGTGTTGTTTGCTCCTTAGAGCCCTTCTCTGCCCTGCAGTGCCCTCCAGTGGGCTCATTCCACAGAATGCATCACAAGGGCTCCCTTGCCTTCCTTGTTCTTCTTGGGTTTGGCTAGTAGAAGGCACCTACTGAAGATCTGAAGGAGAGAAAGTTTGGGGTGTTTTTTTCATTTCCTGCCTCCCTCCTTGTTTAGGTTCCAGCAAAAGCTATTTCCTTCCATACCAACAGCTCCTGCCTGGTGGGCCTTCCAGCAGCCCACCTATCAATGCCAAGGGAACACAGCCCCAGCCCTTGTGAGCAAGGGAGGGGTACAGCCTCCTGCCATTGTTAGACTTCCAGAGCTTCCATGTTCCTGTGAGTTTTCTCAACCCTCCCCCTACCCCCACCCTAGTCCTTTCTTCCAAACCTCTTTATTGGATCATCCCAGAGGATTTGTGATTCCTGCTGGGATTCTGAATGATACAACATTTGAAGAGCATAGAAGAGTGTTTGGCGTATGGTAAATGCGCAATAAATGAAGCTAATGGTAAAACATGACTATTGTTATCTCCTTCCAAGGTTAGATGTGTCAATTAAAATACCTCTCTTTGTGCCCAAAAGTGAGGAAGAAAAAATATAAAATAACTACACAACCATGCAAAATTAGAAAAGCAATTGATCTGGGTACATTAGACAAAAATATAATACTGGCCAGTGTGACTCAGATGGTTGGAGCATCATCCAGGACACCAAAAGGTCATGGGTTTGATCCCCATGGTCAGGGCACACACCCAGGTTGCAGGTTCGATTCCCATGGTGCGTAAGGGAGGCAAATGATCGCTATTTCTCTCATATCAAGTTTCCCTCTCTCTCTAAAGTCAATAAAAACATATCCACAGGTGAGGATTAAAATTTAAAAAATAAAATAAAATAAAAATAAAAAGTATGTAAATGTCTTCTCCCCTACATGCATACATCTCTGTGATAACATGCCAAAAAAAGATATGAGAACATTTTTTTATTTGACTTCAGTCTATGAAAAAAGTCTATTTATTTTTAGACATTTTTAAACATGGTCAAACTCCAATCAATGATTTACGAGATGCAAGTAAACCTCATTTCCCCAGGTAAATGTCACCTGAGTAGTTTCCCATCTACCAGGTTTATCACACTCACCATCAAACAATACTAGTCTCTTGAATATCTTCATTTACAGGAGTTATATCTTTACCAACATTTGTCATATCTTCTTTCTTTTTCCTTCGAAGAGGACTTGGAAAATGGTGTTAGAAATTAGCATGGGCCTGTTAGTTCATGTGAAGACAAAATTAATCATCAAGAGAGCAGCCTATGATTTTATTTCTAGACTGTTAAGAATGCATAGGTTTCTTTTTACTTAAATATTTGAGGTTTTATTTTAAATCACCCCTTTCCCTAGGCTCCACTAATAGCTACAATGAGAAACAGTGGGATAGAGTATAGCTATATCTAGATAGAAAGAATATGGCACCTGAGTGTTGACGGAGCTTGGTTAGCACAAGAACATTTTTCAGACGAGTCGTTTTACAAAATTGACTGATTCAGCATTATTTAGTGTGTAAACAAGATATAGTGCACATCAGAAACAGACACAGGAAAACTAAGAGCACTTCTGTGTATGTTAATTAAGCTGCCAAATACATTAGAAAGCTGGACTGTGGTCCCATGTTCTTAAAGTATAACCCAAAATTAATGTAATAAAATAGGCCATTTCCTGGCTCTATCCAACAGATACTCTGTCCCAAATCTGGCATTATAAAAACTCCTTTTTACTATAAAATAAGTAAAATAAAAAAATAACTTTCAATTTTATAGCTGGAAGGAATCTTATAGATTATCTGGTTTAAAACTTTCATTTTGCAGGAAATAAAATTAAAGTTTTAAGATGTTAAGACTATTCTTCAAGGTCTCAAAGACACTCAATGGCAGAGTTGGGACAAAACTCAAAGCCTCCCAGGAGCTCTGTGTTCTTCATCTCTGAAGGTTGTGGAGAAAGAAATGGTAGGATGCCCTCTTCTGGTCTAGACCACAGACCAGAGTACTGGGAACAGTGCAGGATGTGCTCTCCTCCACACAGGAAGGCAGCACTGGAGGCCGGTTAGCATACTACCTGGGAGTTCTAGTCTGATAAGTAATGTGATGGGGTTCCAAAAGGAACTACCTTAAGGTTCATACCAAGCCACTCTGTCTCAGACAAAAGCAAGGTGTTTCTTGAGTCCCAAAATTGTGGTATATAATGAAAAGTAGAAGAGAAGAACAAGAGTGTGGTTATCTTTTGTTACTTAAATTTATTATTTTAATGTGGCTAAGGAAAAAAAAAGTTTTGTTTGTTTATTTCTATGTTTCAAAGGTAGTGTGTCAAGGTGCAGCTTGAGAAAATATAAGTCTGATTTAGCCTACTAACAAACACATAAAATATATCTAACTTTAGGACTAAATAGATGTTTTCTTTAAATTAGGAGCTATACAAATTTGCTTTTAAATTATATTGTGCTCAGTAAAATGACAAATATCATGTATCATGTGTTTTGTTATAAACACTTCAATATAATTGATTGCAAACCTAGAAAAGTGATGTCTTTAAGTCAAAGCAAAAAAGAAAAGAGAAAAGCTAGGAAGGAGAGAAGATAAGAAAAAGAGTCAGGAAGATACAATTTCTCAGATTTACTTAAAATTAAATTAAAAATACTTACTGACAGCATGTGCAGACACTAACCACCAGAATGATCAATGTCACCATAACTGCTGTCAAACAAATCACCAAAATCTGTCCCGTGTCTCCTCTTAGGTAAAAAAAGTCAACTCGCTCACATCTTGCCCCAGCATAGCCTTCGTCACAGCTATAAAAATGAAACAAGAACACAACAAGGGGAACAATGAGAGAGTTTTAGGAATTTCTACTATTTTATGAAGAAAGTGACACTTTTTTTATTCCTTGGAATTAATAAAGAACACAATTTCTTTAAAAATGTTAATTAGCTGTACACCCGTGTTGGTGAGGAATTTCTCTTTCTTTGCTTTGCTGAAAATCTGTCATCACTTGAACAATATTAACAATGTGTATAATATAAATAAATAAGGGTGTTGACAATTTACTAAACTTTAGCTTGAAATTTTAGATTCTGAGTTTTAAAGGAGAAGATGATAAAATTCCCTCCACGACATTCCCAAGCACTCAAATACCTACTTGACAAGCAATTCACCCTCCCCCCCCCGCCCCAGGATTTCCCATGTCATCATAGAGCAATATGAACAGTTTCAGTGTGCCCAAGTTCTTTTAAAATAATGTATTTAAAAATTACAAGCTGTTTTATATGATCCAACATAGTAATGTGTGTGAAAATTCCTATATATAGAAAGCTTTATAAATGTCATTCAACGTCATTTATCTCTCTCTCTCTCTCCCCCTCTCTCTCTGTAACTTCCACCCATCAGTTTTAGTTCTACTGCTCACAGGTGTCACAGATTAGGTAATGCTCTCATGTTGCTCTCCTAGTCCCCACCTCCCCAACTACATCCCTCCAAACACAATAGGTCTTATCCTCTCTAGTTCTTGGTTTCTGGTTCCTTTATCTGATCCTCGAAGTCTAAGGCCACCTTTTCAGATCCGGACACCATTCCTCTACTCTCTTCTAAATGCCCCCCTTCTCCATGGCCTGATAAAGTGCAGTGAACAAAAAATCAAGATTTTCCATAGGAGCTATCACTCCCCTCGTTCTCTCAATTCTCTATCAACACAGTCTCGGGATTCACCTCAATTCAGCAATGCCCCATGTCTGAGATCCAGGTAAGGGTCTATTTGACCAAGCCAAGACTTGTCTGAGCAACACTCAAGAAACTCAAGGTGCCCTGGCCGGTTTGGCTCAGCGGTTAGAGCATCAGCCTGCGGTCTGGAGAGACCCCGGTTCGGTTCCCGCTAAGGGCACCTACCTCGGTTGCAGTTTGTCCCCGGCCCTGGTTGGTCGTGCGGGTGGCAGCCACTCAATGTGTCCCTTTCACGTCGATGTTTCTCTCTCTCTCTCTCTCTCTCTTCCTCTCTCTCCCTCCCACTCTATCTGTGCAAAAGATGGAAAAATGTCCTCGGGTGAGGATAAAAAAAAAAAAAAAAAAGAAAGAAACTCAAGGTGATTTGGGGGCTATCCATAGTATTCTCTGAAGTGCATCATATGCTTAAAAGGTATATAAGAAGTTTGAGATAATTTGAAACTGAAATTATATGTTGTAACATTAGTTACAAATATTTTCCTTTTTTCTCCACAGGCTCAAAGAGATGGTCATAATTATATAAATCTAAAATATAGAAAATTATGCTTCTTGAAAATACTTCTGTACAATCTCTTTTTGTTTTGTTTGATTTGGTTTTTGTTTTGTAAGAAAAGATAAATTGTCAGGCTCTTCTATAGTTTGTATTTGACAAGAGCCAAGGGAGTTAATTCCCCCAAAGCCTGTATTTCACAAGTAAGGAGATCCCTTAATGCCAATACTGCAGTTGATACAATGCTACAAACATTAAATAAAACACAAGCTTGGCTGGAGTGGCTCAGTTGGTTGACTGTCTTCCTGTGCATGAATGGTTGCCAGTTAGATTCCTGGTCAGGGCACGTGCCTGGGTTGTGGGTTCGATCCCTGGTTGGGATATGTGCAGAAGGCAACCATCGATTTGATATTTCTCTCCCTTTCTCTCTAAGCATATCCTTGGGTGAAGATTAAAAAAAAAAAGCTCAGTCACAACTCTGAATTGAAAAGTGAAGCTCAGTGCAGGCACAGGAGAAAGACACCCAAAGCCATCTACTGCAAAGGACCCCAGGACCTATGAGAGAAAACTGCTTCCTGCAAGAGAGCCAGTTATAGTCATTAGGAGGTTAAAATAATGGAAAGAAAGCTTAGAAATATCTTGAAATATCAAAAATCTTTTGCACATGGGCCTGGAACAGGGGGGAAAAAAAGACCACTTTTAATTACATATATAGGATGAAGGTTTTTAAAAGAATCTTTTTTTTAAAAGGTCATAATTAAAGTCTTACAAATATAGTCTCTTCCAATTAGCTTAAATGTTTCTCTAACAAATTTACTTAATGTGACATTTTTAAATGATAACTTTGCCCATAAAATACACAGCAATTACTCGATACTCTTTTAGAATGCTTTTCTAATTATAAAATCCAGGTTTCCTAGTGTAATCACACTTTAGTTGAATTTCTCAGTTAGCAATACTCCCTGCAACTTATAACCCAGTGAGCCACGCTAGAAGCTGAAACGTTAACATGTTATAGTGGCTCTCATGTTATTTCACTTCTCACCAAACCAGTGCTAACCTACATGCTGAAGTTCGTTTTAATAGGTGAAAATGAGGCAAAGGGTACAAGATCCTAGTAGATGTTTATTAAATGCTGAATAACTAAACAAATGAGATTTAATAAGCCTCTTATCAAATAAAATTTAAAATAATTTTTAAAGGCGCCCATAACCCTTGAGGACTCCGCAAAATCAGGTTTGGGATCACTTTTTTGGAATAATCAACAGACACAGTTCTAGGAAATTTAAAAATATTTACTCAATTGATTTTTTTTTTTTATCCTCACCTGAGGACATTTTTCCATTTTTTGTTCAGATACAGTAGGAGGGAGAGAGAGGAAGAGAGAGAGAGAAACATCGACATGAAATGGACACATCCAGTGGCTGCCACCCACACAACCCAGCCAGGACCGGGGACAAACTGCAACCAACGTACGTGCCCTTAGTGGGAACAGAACCGGGTCTCTCTGGATTGCAGGCTGATGCTCTAACGTCTAAGCCAAACCGGCCAGGGCTCGATTAATTCTTAAAACCACCTTTGTGGTAGTTGCTATTATTAGCCAATTTTGCAGATAGAGAAACGCAGCTATAGAAAAATTGAGTGAATGGGCTGGGACTCAAATGCAGGAAGTTGCCTCCCACGTTCACACACCAACTGTATGTAATACTGCTTTAATGAAGTGTGCTGCATAAATAATTATGTATCTGGATACAAATCATTCCCATTCCAAGAAAATACAGTAGACACTAACAGAGGATTGGAATTATTTGAAACACACTCTAGTATTTATGTAAAAACCAGAATCCACAAACTCCTCTGATTCCAAGGAAAAAGAGATATTTCTGTTTCCCAGAATAGCATAGGCACCACAGAAGGACAGTTTTACTTGAATCTGTGCTACCAAGTCACCTAAAAGGTCAGGTCTAGGTTTAATGTCTTCCACTCATCTCATGGTACAATTTATGGAACATTTACTCTGTGCTCGGTACCATGATAAATATTTTTGATTAATGTTTATTTTGCTTAGCTTTTAATACTTCAGAAGAAGATATTATCTCCTTTTATAGATGACAAAACTGAGGCCCAGAAAAGGTAGCCGACCCATTGTTATCACTGTTTATTATTAGCCCAGCCAGTATGGCTCAATGGATTGAATATCATCCCTTGGACTGAGAGGTCCTGCTTCAATTCCAGGTCAGGGCACATGCCTGGGTTGCAGGCTTGATCCCCAGTAGGGGGCATGCAGGAGGCAGCCAATGATGTTTCTCACATTGATGTTTCTTTCTCTCTCTCTAAAAAAAATCAATTAAAAAAAAAACAACTTTATTATTGGTGGAAACAAAATCTTAACTTAGTATATCTGACTCCAAATCCTGCGTCCTAGCTCCTAGGCTTTTCCACCTCCCATTGATTCTGTATCATTCCACCACTAAGAAGGTGTTCCTGGTTCAGATTAAGGCCTTGGTTTTGACACTTAGCATAACATTAGATGGACCATGATAGAGGGTCTCAGTCATTTATTCATCAGTCATTCCTTGAGCACCTAGTAAATTCTAGGCATGGGCCTGGCACTGTAACACAAAAGGAATACTCCATGAGCCCTGCCCTCTAGGTGTTCACAGTCACAGAAGTGACATTCCAAGAAAACATTTTTGCTCTAGAAGAAAAGAGTTTTCATAAAAGTGGGACTAGACCCCAGAGAAAGGACATCTAGCTCACATCTGAATGTGTCTGAGAAGAGGAAGTTAATGCAGGGGTCCAGGAAGAGCTGATGTTTGAGATGCATGTAAAACATCAGTGAGAATAAGCTTGGCAGATTATGAGAAGAGCTTGTGTGATGTACCATGCAAAGAAATGCAGACTCTTAGAGGAACATTGACCCCATAATGGTGAAGTGGTTAGAGAGTCACACCAGGATCAGAGGAGCTTTGGAGGCCAAGGAAATGAGTTTTCATCTCAGATGGAAGGGGGCATGCTTCCTGTTGATTGATCTTAGAGAGGTCGATCACCCACTGTGGTTTTCATTTCATAAGAGCAATAAATGTACAGAACATAGTGATCAGTTAGAAAAGTATAGCATATTAATAGGCATTAATATTTTAAGAACTCAATATATTCTCCCAAATCAGTGAGCAATTAAATGAAAAAACTTTAGAAATCAGCTCTCTCTTTCGGAACACACACAAACAAGCACATTTTTCTTATTTCCTTACATTAGAGAATTCTTATTCTCCTCTAAGTATTATCGTTATATATTTAGTTTTAAAATTCAATTTAAATACAAGTAAATTTTGAAGACGTCCATGACTCAAATATTCCACTATATTAGGGATCAGAATTGCTGTTCTGGGATACTTATTTTAGAAATAAAAAACAAATATATGTTGGGGGAAATGCACAGAATATAAATATTCTATGAATTTTAGGTCAAAATTACACTTAAAAATCACCTTGCTTCTCTATAAGATAAGCTCTTACCACTTTAGAAGGACATCTCTTTAGAAGAAAATGAATATTTAAATTATGAAAAAATATTACTTGTGCCTGAGTAAAATTAAACTTGGGCTCTTAATGCACCAACAGCTGAAAACTTTTCTCCCAGTTCCCTGCCTTACTAAACAAGCTTTGGAAATCTTTATAAGACTGGTTTCCTTGGACTTAATTGACACTTGCAAAAGTAACTTTTAATTTTGCAGACATTTTTTTCATATTTAAATGAATTACAAACAACAAATGCAAAAAAAAAAATGTTTTCATTCAATACACATGGGAGATTTTGATACATCTGATATGAGGTTAATTTCCAAAGTATGTAAAGAACTTGCACAAGTTTAGAAAAGAAAGATAAACAATCCAATTAAAAATGGGCAATGAATCTATATAGACACTTCTCCAAAGAGAACATACAGATGGCCAAGAGACATATGAAAAAGTGTTCAAAGTCACTAATCATCAGAGAGATACACATTAAAACAACAATGAGGTATCACCTCACGCCTGCCAGAATGGCTGCCATCAACAAGTCATCAAACAACAAGTGGTGGCGAGGGTGTGGAGAAAAGGGGACTCTAGTGTACTGCTGGTGGGAATGCAGACTGGTGCAGCTACTATGAAAAACAATATAGTGTTACCTGAAAAAATTAAAAATGGAACAGTCTTTGACCCAGTGATACCATGTTAGGAATATATCCTAAGAATCCTGAAACACCAATCAGAAAGAATATATGTACTCCTATGTTCATAACAGCTCTATTTACAATTGCTAAGATCTGGAAACAGCCCAAGTACCCATCAGTAGATGCACTTACTGATAAAAAAGCTGTGGTTCATTTACACAATGGAATACTATGGAGGTATAAAAAATAAAGATCTCTTACCATTGCGACAGCATGGAGGAACCTGGACAGTATTATGCTAAGCAAGATAAGCCAGTCAGAGAAAGACAAATATCACATGATCTCACATATATAGTGATACCTCGGTTCTCGAACATAATTCGTTCCAAGAGGACGGTCGAGAACCGAATTGTTCGAGAACCGAAGCAATGAAACCCAATAGGAAAGCGGACTCCACAAAGCGTGACTCTCTCTCTGCACTCACACTGATGACGCAAGCAAGGCGCGCTGGGCCGAATGAACGCCATTCGGCTCAACTCGGCTCATCTCGGAAGTTCGAGTTCCAAATATTTGTTCGGATTCCGACACAAAAGTTTCTCGAATCTCCTGGTCGAATACCGATTTGGTCGAAAACCAAGGCGTTCGAGAACCGAGGTATCACTGTATGTGGAATCTAATGAAAAAAAATAAACTGACGAACAAAATAGATCCAGAGACATGGAAGTATGGAACAGACTGACAGATCTCAGAGGGAAGGGGGAGGCTGGGACGGGAAGAGATTAACCAAAGAACGTATATGCATATATGCATAACTCATGGACATAGACAATAGTGTGGTGAAGGTGGGAGGGGCGCGGGTGGGAGTGTGGTAGAGAGGGTCAATGGGAAAATAAGGGGGGACATCTGTAATACTTTCAACAATACAGATAAATTTAAAAAGTAAATAAAAGCATCCTTGTGTGAGGCTAATGTGATAACTACTACACCATGGAAACAAAATGGGTTAAGGGTAAGAAATTACATGAAGCGCACTGGAGGATGTCACCAAAATGGGAGCAAATCCTATGGAGAGCTGAACTTGGATCACTGAATTCAAAGTCAATAGAGATAACCATTACACTATAGGGCCACACAAGCAAGCCAAGTGCCCATCAATAGACGAGTGGGTAAAAAAGCTTTGGTACATATACACAATGAAATATTACGTGGCCATAAAAAAGAACAAATCTGACCATTTGCAATACCATAGAGAGACCTAGAGAGCATTATGCTATGTGACATAAGTCAGTCAGAGAAAGACAAATACCATATGATTTTACTTGTTTATGGAACCTAAAGTACAGTATAAATGAACAAACAAAACAGAAACAGACTTATAGACACAGAGAACAGACTGATAGTTGCCAGAGGGGAAGGGTTTGGGGGCTGGTTGAAAAAGGTGAAGGGATTGAGAAGTACAGATTGGTAGTCACAAAACAGTCCCAGGGATGTAATGTACAGCATAAGAAATATAGTCAGCAATATTGTAATAACTATGTAAGGTGCCAGGTGGGTCCTTGATATTGAGGGAACACTCTGTAAAGTATATGATTGTCCAACCACGGTGCAGTACACCTGAAACTAATAGAAAATATTATTGAATGCACACTATATTAAAATAATAATAAAACTCAATACTAAAAGAGGAAAAAAAAAACCATTGTTAACACTGGACAAAAAAGTCTTGCTTGTCTAAGGCAGGAGAGGACACAGCCTGCCTGCAAGCATCTGGATACTCCAGGGTGTGTCAGTTTCTCCCTCAGCCACTGTGGGAGGAGCCGCTAAACAAGTGCTGGGGTAGGACCAAGGCACTGTGTCCTGACAGATGGCTTGATTAGCTCAGACTTCCCAGTCCTGCGGAGCCCAGGCCAGCACCACCCTGCACCCCTTTGCTTTCAGGCTCAGGGTGCTCCACTTACAGGCAGGAGGGTTTCTGCAGGGCCCCCACGAAGCGGCATTTCCCATTGATGCAGTAATGCTCGTATTTCTTGGGGCATGGAGAGAAGTAGTCATTCCACTTTGATTGTGTGGTGGCAGCTAAAAAATAAGAAAAAAGTTCAATAAATCAACTCACCTTAAAAACATTTCTAAGTAGTAATATATTCTTATCTTTACTGTCAAGTTTCTGTAGAATACACTCTCATCCCTCATTTCTCCTTCTCTCTATACTGGGATAAAAGTCACACTTTTGTGGCTCCAAAATAGCTCTAGAGATTGGGTAATGGGGACTGTGGCGGGAACATTTCATATTTTAGTTAGATTTATGACCAATTTACTTCTCAGAAACATTGGTGTCATTTAAAGGGTAGAGCATAGTTGTGATAAGAGAGGTTATTCTTTCCATGAAGATGATTAGAGCCACGGGGCTGATGGCATTGAAGAGAGAAGTACATTCTTCCTTTCCTCTTGTTCTCTTTTTAAAATTGTTATAATTTAAACATTTACATAGCACTTACTGAGTGCCAGATGTTGGTCTGTATACTCTGTTTATATTAACTCATTTAATTCTCAGAACACTCATGTAAGGTGAGCACCATAGTAACCTCCCACTTATTAATGAGCAAATCTCCCATTGATTAATGAGAGGCTCAGTTACCTTCCAGAATCACACAGCTGGTATGTGGCAGGCCTAGGACTCACACCCAGGAGGTCTTGCCCCACAGTCCACGCTCTTGACTCTCCACTCTGTCAAGCCAGCCATTCCCAGGTAGCTGTCATCTGCTCTCTGCCCGAGGCTCCCAGAAGTCATGCTTCCCTGAATGAAAGATTCCCCCTCTCTTTCAACCCCTAGAGGGTTTCTCTTGTTCTGAAGTCAGAGGAAAATACTGGAAGCTTCACATCTAAGATTTCAACCCTGCACTGACTATGTTGTCTTACTTTTTGGAGTCTTGATCGCTGATTTTTCAACTGGGGACAGTAATATGTAACCATTTCCACATTGTAGAAAGTTTCAAAACATAAAGATTGTCAAGAAGAACAGTACCGAAATACTAACCAGCTGTACCCTGTGTTGGTTCACAACACACATAGAAATCAGCTAACCAGCCTGCACCAGCCCAGTGTCAGACTTTCCATGTTCCTGGTATGGCCACAGCTTGCAGGACTCAGACACCCGTGGAGCCAGAAAGACCACAGTGATCAGTTCGGGAGGGCATTTCACCCTAGGTTTGGTGTGGCACCTGGCACCCCAATGACATCAAACAATCATTTTATTAATAGCAATGACTACTCAACTTCTTCCTTCATATTATGTAATGAGTACATGTAATTGCTCAGGGCCACCAGAAGAGTTGCAGAGCTCTTGGTGATCTATACACAGCAAATACCTGTGATGCCAGTTTTAGAGGTGGCAGAATGTTGCTGAGGAACTGGCTGGCCTGGTTTTTGTTGGTTACTTATCAGCCATGCTGACTGCTGGTCCATGCCAGATATTTTTGCCATGCATGCCAATCAATGAAACTCTTATTGAAATTTCTGCCAGAAATAAGTGCAAATTGCCTCAAAGGTGAAGGTGAGTGAATTGTGGCAAATAAATTGACCGGTCAGTTTTCATTCATCAGAGCCCCATAGCAAGTATTGGAAAATATCAAAGAAATAAAGGATATCCTCTCTCTCTCTCGTACAACAAATTCAAGATAGTAATTCAAGATAGAACAAATTCAAGATAGTAATTACCAACCAACCAGTAAAAGCAACCATAGTAACTGTAAAAACAGTTGTTGTCCACTGGAAACAATGGAATGAACACTGAAATGGGAGGAAAGAAATTAGTGTTTTATTTTTAGCTCTGCCTTTCATTAGTCACATGTGTCTGGCAAAGTGAATTAGGCTGCCTGAGCCTCAGTTTCCCCATCTGCAAACTGAGGATCTACCTAAAAGGGCTGTTGAGAGGGGAAAAAAAAAGAAAGAAAATACATGTGGAATTTTCAGCAGAGTGCCCGAGCAATAAGTCCTCAGTAAATGAGTTGATGCTAGAATCTTGGAAATCCTGGCAATTCTAAGAAAAATTTTGTATAAGTACAAATGTGCTTATTTAATTAAGGGAAAACTTCTACGATATGTCGTTTTTTTGTTATTGTTTTTAATTTAGGAGGAGGTGAGTAAGCAACTGAGGTATGGAGAATGTCAAACTCAAAAGCTCAGGGTCAGGAACATGCAAGCCTTATGCAGGGGGCAGAGTTAATGCCAGCAATGGGAGGAACATGAGGGGAGACCCAAGGATGCTATAGCAGAAGTCAGAGACCTCAACTCTCTGTAGTGTTTACACTGAAATTTAAGGAAGGAGAGAGCTGAAGAAGGTTCTTATGAATAAGTTAATGGGACATGTAAAATCTAAACTGGGAAGCATTTCATAAACATATTAGATTAGAGACTGGAACAGAGAAGCAAGATACCAGGGCAAGGAGAAACCAAGGCACCCCTGAGCCATGCAGACACATGTGATGTGGGTCTGGAGCAGGAGAATGGAGGGCAATGGTAAGAATTTAAGAAGCAATAACACTTAGTGTGCTCTGCTGTGCTCCAGTAAGGTCTTTTCTACTTGACAAAACACACCTGACTTTCAACATAATCTCTATGGCTCTGAGTCCCGACCTTGACTGATTCTGTAGTTGTTGTGCCCCTTTAAACAGAGCCTGCGTTCTCATAAACACCACACAGAGCATGATCCCCAAACTGCCTTAACAGCAGCTGCTGGACTCAGTGATTTGATCAGCCTTGGTTTATTCAACACGCACCTGTGCCAGGGAAATGGTTGCCAGGCCCTGTTTTGATACCTCGCAGAGCTCTCTTCTTTGCCAAATAAGCATACTCTTAAATATTCACAGCATTATTTGGATTTGAAAACACTTCCATGCCATCAAGCAGAAAATGTCCAGTGATTTCTCTACAGAACTTTAAAACCTAGAAAAAAATAAATCACACATACTGCCCCCCCCTCCCCCCCCCAATCAGGGAAAAATAAAGGCTTATCAGAGTTGCACGTTTGGAAAAGCACCTAATACTCAGTTGCTTTCATCTGAAGTTCATGAAGGTCATGTTATTTGAAAGTTGAACAACTCTGATATCTAACATTTTCTGCCTATCATGAGACCTGATGACTTAGGGTGGAGGATGGCAAAAATCTGCATTCCTTTCCAAGGCCATGTCCCAAGGAGAAGGAAAACGTAATCCTATGACAAAAGTAAGATTAGTCCCATGTCTTGGGTTTCTCTGTTGAGAATTGACTGGCATGGCTTTGAAAATGTCACAGGCCTGAAAGACTACCTTGATTCTGGGGGTGGTGGAATTAATTGAACTTTTGTCCTCCCACCTTCCTCTTTTCCAACCAACATGCCCCCAAACAACGCTTTCCTCTGGGAGTGAGTCTGTCCCACAAAATTGCACTGGAAAACTACATCCACTGGTGGGCCAGGTCGCAACAGTCTCTGAACTGGATGGGCACCACAGGTGATACACTCGATCTCTTCACCAGACAGCAAATCCCTAAGGTTCTAATGCCAATTAAGTAAGAAACCTCGAGGGTTACCACAGGTCAGTGTATGTCAAAATCTGATCCCAACAGTTAGCAAAAGGGCTCAGAAGTAAGAGCATCTTTCTTTGATCATATGGGCAGATAGACAAGAAGTGAATCTTCCTAGGGTGAAGTGGATAGTTCGATGAGAGGCGATGGATTCTCTTGAGCCAAACTCAATTGGAGGAATACAGTAGACACCCAAATCACTGTGTTTAAATATGGATTTTCCCTCAGTTTGATAGATGCTTTGATTCAGCAGCATTGCTCCCTGTTCTTTCTGTACATGATTATTTTTATTTTTATTTTTTAATCCTCACCCAAGGACATTTTTCCATTTTTTGTACAGATAGAGTGGGAGGGAGAGAGAGGAAGAGATAGAGAGAGAGAAACATCGATGTGAAAGGGACACATCGAGTGGCTGCCACTGCATGACCAACCAGGGCTGGGGACAAACTGCAACCGAAGTACGCGCCCTTAGTGGGAACCGAACCCGGGTCTCTCAGGACCGCTGGTCGACGCTCTAACCGCTGAGCCAAACCGGCCAGGGCTCTGTACATGATTCTTATTCTCAAACCAAAACAGGCTTTGAGATGTCTTTGTGAGAAAAACTCTTCAGAGTTGATACATTAGGTCTATTTTTAATAAAACCTTCATTTACCTATTCCAGTAGTACTTAGTACAAATCTATGTAATGATTTTGTAACAATATTAATAACAGCAGCTCTTCTGAAAAAAAACAACAACAAAACCCTAAGGATGATATACATTTATTATTACAATGCCTTTTTTGGAATTGTCATTACAGTGCCATAACCTCATAGTCTATCTGACCCCTAGTTAGATGCACAGTTAAATCTCTGTGTAAGGGATTAATAGGGGGTCCCTGCTGACTGTGGAGGTAGATGTCCCACAAGTGTTCTCAAGGACAAAGAGGAAGGGAAACAAATAACTAGAAATCCATCTTCCTACACAGATTCCTGACCTAAAAAAGGAAACACCTCGTGCATAGAAGGGTTTACGTGGCCCAGCAGAGTGTGGAGAACAGTTTCTTCTCAGTCTGTGAAGTGAGCCTAAGGCCTCAATCCTCTGTCCTTGGCTTCCAGGCATCTTCCCAGTAGGGGTTTCTTTATATGACAACTTTCCTTAATGTTTTTTTTCCCCCACCAAACAGGACATACAAATGGCCAAGAGACATACGAAGAAATGCTCAACATCACTAATCATCAGAGAGATGCAAATTAAAATGACTATGAGGGCTGGTCCGAGTGCAGTGGTGTCTTAAAATGACTATGAGGTATCACCTCACAACTGCCAGAATGGCTGCCAACAAATCATCAAAAAAAACAAATACTGGCGAGGATGTGGAGAAAAGGGGACTCTAGTACACTGTTGATAGAAATGCAGACTGGCACAGCAACTATGGAAATCAATATGGTGTTTCCTCAAAAATTTAAAAATGCTACTGCCATTTCCGAAGAAGCCTGAAACACCAGTTTGAAAGAATATATGTACCCCTATGTTG